TCATGAAGTAACTATTATACAATATGCAGATGACTTTTGCATCTATACATCCCAGAAAAAATTAAACAATTGTCTTCAGATATTAAATGGAAATATCAACAATATTAACACTTATTTCTTCAACAACGGCCTAGATATCTCAACCTCGAAATCTGAAATTACTGTTTTTACGAGACATAACCTGTTGTATCAGGACAATATATCTCTGGGTCCATATAATTTTCCTTGGAGGAGATGTTCCCGCTACCTGGGTGTCTGGTTGGATCAAAAATTAACTTGGGAAAAACAAATTAACAGTATTATTGAAAAGGCTGGGAAAAGTTTGAATTTATTAAAAGCAACCACCAAAAGACATTGGGATTCTGACCCTAAAACTGCACTTATGTTCTACAGAGCTTACACTAGATCCTTGATTGATTTTTCCTCAGAATTTTATGGTAGTGCGACTAAAACACGGCTAAATAAAATTGACCGCTTACAATATAAAGCTTTACGGATTGTCACTGGTGCATTCTGTTCTACTCCAGTACAAGCCTTACTAGCTGAAACTGGGGAAATGCCTCTACAATTAAGACGTAGTTACTTAGCCCAAAAGTTTTTAGTTAAAAATATATACATCACCAATAATTTTCTTCTTAACAAAATCTATACATTGTCAACCGATAACCTAACATCAAAATACTGGATACATAAAAATTCTCCACCGCTGGCTGCGGCTTTTATACAAACATCTGAATTACAAAATGAGATAACGTCATATATTAAAATTCCTTTTTTTCACGGAAAAATATAATAATATTTTATGCCCTATAGAGGTTAAATATCCACAATATACCCCATATTCACAAATAAACAACAACATAGTTAATTCCATGGTGCAAGATAATTCATTGATTAGTATATATACTGATGGATCTAAGACAGATAATGCTGTTGGATGTGCCTGCAAAAATATTGAAAAACAATATAAACTCCACCCTAAGGCTAGTATTTTCACTGCAGAAATGTCTGCTATACTATATTCCCTAGATTACATTAGTCAGAATAGGAAGTCAACCAGATATGTAATTTTATCCGATTCAAGATCCTGTTTGCAGGCTATAGATAATAGCACTAAAAACATATATAAAAATCCCTTAGTTTTTGAAATATGTCGGAAATTAACTAATTTAGCTCAACAAAATATTCAAATTTTATTTGTTTGGTGCAAGGGTCATAGTGGGGTTATCGGCAATGAAAAAGTAGATATATATGCTAAAGATGCCATTCATAGTGACAATTTTATACTTAACTTACAATTTTATGATGTTTTCCCAATTATCAAAGAAAATTTATATAAGATCTGGAAACAAAATTTTACTGATTATGCAATGAATAACATCAATAGATATACACTTACATACCCAATTTTAGTACCAAAACCTTCTATCCAATTTAATGATTTAAACAGAAATTTTTATGTAACCCTCTTTAGGGCCATAACTGGACATGGTAACATCAATTACCTTCTTCATAAAATGAAACTCTCCGATACCAATATATGTAATTGTAGTAATCCCAGTATTGACGATCTAGAACACTGGTTTTTTGAATGTGGACATAATAAAAATGCTTCCAAGCATATAATGGATGAACTGGCTAAATTACGTCTACTACCCATCAATTTTAGTTCTTTAATGTACATTATTAGATATGATAAAAAGGTTTATGATTTATTTATTAATTTTGTCAAAATGTGTGTGAGAAAGCTTTAGGGACTTGTTATCCTTTGGTACTGATCCTTATATGTTGTCCTTTTTACCTGGTCGATTACCCCTGTTTGTGTAAATAAAGTCGCCTAGATAGACCCTATGTCGTGAAGTGAGTGACCCTGTCTTTTGTGTTTTGATAGTTTTTTTTTCAAGAATCTTCTTTTTCATTTGAGACATATAGATGAGTATGAATGAGAATACTATACTAATTGAATTGCTATTATTATTTTTATTTTAAATTGTAGATAACACATAATTACATACATCATAGGTTACATAAATAGTATATTAAGTTAATTGTAGTGGCTGTATGCACTATGTGCAAAGCCAATCAAACCAAAAAAAAAAAATTATTTATTAGGATGATTGTTAATTGTTATTGTGTTTTATTATTTATTCCATATTTAATTCAAGATATCGATATCGCACACGTGTTTAGAAAAAAAAGGAGGTAATGGGTGGTATGAATAAAAATGAAGTACATGCTATTACTACAAGTAGAAGTATATTCTACGAAGTATCTACATCACAAATAAGGATTTACTAATTTCCGGTAGTTTCGAAATGTAGTATCTACTCCAATTTGAAGTAAATACTACGAAGAATATAGGTACTAATACTTGAAGTAGTAGCATATACTTCATTTTTATTCACACCACCCAATATTTATTCAATTAAAAACAACAATCACATAAACTTTCTTATGACAGAGCGATTTTTCTTCGAAGAAAACTATAAAATTAGTCACACATTGCCTTGATAATCATATGCGGTTTGGTGGTCACCAGATTATTCGTGACGAGATTTCAATATTTTCATAGGCACCCATGAATGATGACTCAATAATAATTTATGATAAATCTCAAGTAGGCCTCTTCTTCTTCCGTTATTATTTTGTGTGGTAAAAGGTCTCTAATGCAAGAATTTAAAGAATTTTTATCTCTCATGTCCGGTCAGTGAGTAATCTGAATTTCAGGTAGATTTAGGCCCTGATTGGTCACATTGATTCTGAAATTGGAAGAATTAAATAATGTTATTGTTGAAAGGAATGCTTTATGTAAGCGAAAGTCCGCGTGAAAGTGAATCAATAAAACTAAACGATCATCTTAAGCGAGATTTTTTTTTTTCGTATACATGGGCATAACTGATGGGGATTAATTCAAGACTGCCATAATGAAAGTGTATATATACCTACCTACTGTTACAAAATGACTTTTGTTTGTCCAATATGTTTGTGTGTGACTAATTTGAAAATGTCTATGAGAATTTCTAAGTCAATTAAACTTCAAGACAATGACACCCAAGAGCGTATTGGGCTTTTAAAAAAAAACCAAAATTCAAAAAGTAAATCTCAGACAACAAAGCTCGAAGCCAAACGGCTCGCGCCAATGATTTTTTTTCTTCTTCTGGACTTCCGTCTCTTTTCCAGCTCGTTTATTGGAGCGAGAAGGTCTGGTAATCCGATCGGCTTGTGGGGGTAATCGAGTGGTACTTGCACTTTTAGTCGAGCGGATTTCGGCGAGGAATTTCCCGAAAACTTAACTTAAAATTTGTATACATTCGACACGCGTTAACAATGGTCCTTCAAAAGTCACGTACAGATTTTTTTATATGTATTATGTTTTGCGTTAAGAGCCAAAACAACTTGACTTCAAGGTTTTTCCGAAACGCAAAGGAAAATCTTTTAATCCTCGATGGATTTATCGAGACTGATGTATTTTCTACTTGAATATTAATTTAATAAATAATGTTTTGCTTTTGTTAATAATTCACGAGCTTCCTTATCATTGAATAGGTAGCTACCTTATGATTTAGATTTTGGAAAACTTTGAAAGGTCATAATTTTTTTTCTATTATAGATAGAAAGCTGAAATCATCAGCGATTCTTATTCCGGTAGAGGACTACAATCCTTGAAAATTACAGCTCATTCAAACTTCTAGTTCCAAAAATAAAATCGTAATAAGCAATTTGGGGTGATTTATCAATTTTTTAATTTTTCTGAATGCCTTTTTTCATAGAATCCGGCTTCAAATCTCAGAATAATTTAGTGTATGGAGTTTGGGGGATTCCAAAGTACCATTTCATCGTTTTAGTACTGAATAGGTAGCTACCTTATGATTTAGATTTTGGAAAATCTTGAAAGGTCATAACTTTTTTTCTATTATAGATGGAAAGCTGAAATTTTCAGCGATTCTTATCCCAATAAAGGACTACAATCCCTGAAAATTTCAGCTCATTTGGACTTATAGTTTCAGAAATAAAATCACGTTAAGCAATTTGGGGTGATCTATCAATTTTTCAATTTTTCTGACTGCCTTTTTTTATAGACTCCGGCTCCAAATTTCAGAATAATTCAGTGTATGGAGTTTGGAGAATCCCAAAGGACTATTAGGACACAAACTCTCAACAACAAAAAAAAATGAAATTTCATCGTTTTAGTAAGAAGGTTACCTTATGATTTAGATTTTGGAAAACTTTGAAAGGTTATAACTTTTTTTCTATTGAAGATAGAAAGCTGAAATTTTCAGCGATTCTTATCCCAGTAGAGGGCTACAATCCCTGAAAATTACAGCTCATTCAAACTTCTAGTTCCAAAAATGATCTATCAATTTTTCAATTTTTCTGACTGCCTTTTTTCATAGAATCCGGCCCCAAATCTCAGAATAATTTAGTGTATGGAGTTTGGGGGATTCCAAAGTACCATTAGGACACAAAATCTCAACCAAAAAAAATTTGAAATTTCATCTTTTTAGTACTGAGGTAGCTACCTTATGATTTAGATTTTAGAAAGTTTTGAAACATCGAGGTATTATTAATAGTCGCCATAAAATCTATATCCGTGTGCTCCGTGATGATGCAAGTGTGGTAGCAGTCTCAATCTCTTGGTTTAGCCTTGTAGAAACATAATTTCGATGTTGGCATTTTCAAAAATGATGCGTTTGAGATATGCACACAAAAAAAACAAAATGGCCGCTGTAGCAAACACACTTTCCTATACTGCAGTCATCGTCACTTTCTAAGTTAATCTCACTTAGCTCTAAATCTTCCTCATCGCCTTGCCCACATTCTTCAAACTTACAAATTTCGGTACACCGGAGTGACCGGAGTCTATTCGATTGACATGTACATGTAGGAGAGCACCAACTTTAGGAGCACGAGCAGCGACAAAGTTCCAACAGAAGTTCTGGTGCGCAAGGTTTGGTCTCTGAGGGTTGTGGATTATTGGGATGCTGAATCGGGTCCTAATTCTACTCAAAACACTGAAGGCGGGCTCTTAGTAATGCCGGATTTAATGCAGACCTTGTTGGAGGCAGGTTCTCATCTAGATATTGTTTCTGGGTAAACAAAAACCATCTCACAGCTTCAATGTCGGTAAGTGCTGTTTTGGGAATATAAAGCTGACAAATACATGCTTCTATGTTAGTTCTGACATCTTCAGTGAGAGACGAAGTAGTCCCCAATTCAGCTAAGGCCAGTAGCAGCTTGTCACTTGCAGAATTGAAAGTTCTCCACCACTTTACTTTACCTTTGCTAGCAAATGATCCTGTTACGTCTGCTCCTGAAAGTGCCTGCAATCCAGGGAGTGCTTTCAAAGATTCAAGAGCTCTGTAAATTAGACCTATATGAACGAATTTTTTCATGCCATGGCCAAGAAAAATTGCAAAATTTTGTGAAAGTTGAGGATATCGCCAGAGTGCTAAAATTAAGACATCATTATCGGAGGAGAACACATGAGTAGTTTTAGTTCCTTTCCGTGCTAAATAAGCTGCATGTAAGATGATCTTTTCTTCCGCCTGTCCCTGCGTACTTGAAAGACTGGATACATCGCCGCCATGTGATGAAGCTGCTTTGTCCCTTCAACTTATTACAAACCTTTTCTTATTGGTCATGCCAAATTCAAGAATTTGGTGAGAAAGGAACTCGGTTAGTTTATGCTTCGTATTATCATGGGCCAATAATTTATTCATTGGTACACTGCCAATTTTCGTTTCTGGTCCGATTTTGTACTGAATCGGATCTGAGCCTTTTTGCCGAATTTCTCGCAGCGCTTTCTTCAATGAGTTTTCTTTGTAAGAGTCGAAAACAACATGGAGCTCACTGTAATTATTAAATTTTTGCCCAAGCCCAATCCATTTGTTAAAACTTATACCGAGGTCAAGGCACGTCTTCACCGTGTTAGGTTTATGATAGGTATGAAGAAGTGCCATGCCATCTACTATCGCAGCTTTTTCATGTAGATTTTTATTGTTTTCTAAAATAGCATTTGTGGAAGTATAAGCATTGTCATTTCCTTTTGCGGGTAATACTTGCATTGATTCAAGAGCATCCATAAGTTTGTGCTTAGCTAGACAATGGTGCATGCTCCCGTCAACTGCAAACAAAGACTTAGGTAGTGCTCAAAACTCGTAGTGTCTCAATTCAATGTCAGGTCTACTTCTAGATACTATCATCAGTCTTGATATAAGAGATAAATCCGTCTTTATGGCTACAGTTTTTTCTTTGAGGGTAATTTTAACCTTTTTCACTGCTGTTTTACACGTTGTGATCAAATTCTTTTTTAAAGGGTCCCAGAACGGAATATTGTTGGTATAAACTCGTTGTTCTAAGAATGCATTATACAGATCTTGTCCAACTTGTGCAATATTATCTAAAGACACCTTTACTTCCTGTGGAAAGACTCGCTGAGTTAGAATGTGAATGAGCTCATCGCTGTTGCAATGGAATGCATTTGTTGTGTTTTGAAAAGTTTCCTTTAGTTTAAGAACGTTATCATCCTGACGCTGTTGAAGTTTAACGGACACTTCTTGATGTTTACTTCGTTCTGTAGTTTCAAATCCTATCATTTTCTCAGTTTCACATGCAATTCTAGTTAGTTCCGAATTAGCAAGAAAGAATCGATTTCGAGCTTTTTTATTGAGCGTTATACCAACAAGTCCTCCATGTATCTTTAGTTTTCGATTTTGCTGTTCCAAAGCTTCATCCGCACCAAGAGCACAAAATGGTACTGAACTTCACGACCCAATTACCATCCATGAATTGTTTCCAAATCTCTGGATCTTCAGATTACAAGCTTTCCATCTCTGAAAGATAGAGGGTGATCATCCGTGCATAATTCACTCTGTTAAATGGAAAGAAGTATTTTATAAACTCCTGAAGTGATGCTAAATATAGCTTCCAATCCGATGTTCTTACAGCTCTTATGAAGTTCATCATCACTTGCACCATAACCATATATGTGCACGATAGTTTGAAATCAGGATATTTGAGATTTCTTGTAGTTGAAAATTTCGTCAATAACATTTTTTTCTTTTATCGTAGAAACTAATGCAGCATGTACTACTGCTTCAATAGTTTTTTTATTACCAGCTGTTAGTTCTCCAAACAGTTCTTGAAGAAGAGGCTTAAAGTCATGTTAGCTTCAATTGCTCTTCTGATGTGTTTTCCGTCAAGGATATGTTTCATTGTTGCTGCAGAATGTGTCACATTCCACCCATACCTCAGGTATACCAGATCCTTGAATAAACTCTCCGATTGTTCTTAGCTGAGCAATTATAATATGCAGTTCCCCAGGCTTTACAAGCCATTTTCTCTTCAACTCTTTGACAGGCATTTCCATTATTTGTTTTAAAGGTTTGTAAAGAGCCATGTCAACTGTGACAACTACCCGTTTCTTGGTGGGGCCTGTACATCCAAACTTGAATAATGGACTATACTATTTAGTTTCTCCAATTGCCTCATCACAGTTAGCTGCACTGATCGACTAGTTGGTGACTCTGGGATCATAGGTAGTACAGCTTGATACAGGTTCCTGACCTACCATGAGACTGTTATAACCGGCCCATGTTGGGGAATGTATATTAGGTTTTTTGTTCGTAGTCAGTATGTAATTTCTTTTAAAAAAACCATACAGTGTCAGCAAGTACGGCCTCACGAATAGTGTTTAGATGGTTCGTTTGGGTACTACAGGAAGGTGACAACAGGTTTTCCAATTTGGTGGGTTTGCCATTGTTAGTATGGTTGGGAGAGCACTATCAAAGGATTTCTGGCGACACTCATGTGGTGAAACTAATGAGAGTGGTACAGATGTATCAGATTCTTTGATAACCTGATATACAGTTATGACAGTACCATGAAGTGTTTTTTTACCACCTGCATTGTCTTCAGAGAAGTCAAGGTTGTCTGCAGCGCAATGAATAAATCTATTAGGTAAAATGTCTGGTGGAACGCAGACTCCTTCATTATCATGAATTCTTTTCAAAGCACTTGCTGCGATTTGCGTATCCAACTTTAGTACTCGACTATAATCAATGCTACATCCAATACTATGCACAAAATTTTCTAGGAACTGACTGCGGGTTGATCCATAAATCATTATACCAACAGCAACTTGAAGTGGTAAGTCCCTTGTGCAATAAAAAAAAGGGTAGATTGCTTGTTCTCAACCTGTCTACGAGAGAAACAATTTGACAGCAGAATTTGCGACATATGACAAGCTCGCCTTTTCACTTCTTCGTGTTTTTCCTTCTTCTCTGCTGAAATGCTGCTTTTGCCCCCAATGCACCACTTAAAAAAGCTATTGAGATCATTTGGAATAATCTCACTCAGATCTTCTGGAACAGAGCCATCAAAATTCCATAGCTTCGACTTCAATACAAGATTTCGGATTATGTTTGCAGCCTGAAACAAAACATCCAGTTCTCTCATTTTTGGTCACCATAAGTTTCAGCCTCTGCTTACAATTCTTCTCTGGTACACTTCATGAAAACTCTTTCTGGTCTGTTGGACTGTCTTCCTTATCCGATAGCTCCGTCTCAATAAATGTCTTTAGCTGCCTACGTGACATGAACTCTTCATGCACATTATTTGAAGCACAAATAGACTTATACACAGTGTGTAAAAAGTCCCGGAACAGTCAATTATTTCGAAAATGGTGCACAATATGAAAAAACTTTCTGTATAAAAGTTGAACGTCTTATTGAAATCTATTGAAATAGGACTTATGTAATTATACAGGGTGGCCCAAAAAGTTGTGCTACACAAAACTTCATTTTTTTTTAATGGAATGATACTTTTTTAATTAAATTTTCTAATTCCTCTAGAGATTCTAAACAACAATTATGAAACATGTCATATAGCTAAACCCATTAGTTTCAGAAATAATTTAATTTGAAGGACATAAATACAATAAGTACGATATTACCTACATTTTGCAGTGTTTCGAGCTGGTTCAAAATGGTCACCAGACCTAACGAGTCTTGATTATTTTCTTTGGGGACATCTGAAAAATAAAGTGTTTGTGACAAAACCTCCAGATCTGAACGAATTGATGAGAAGAAGAATTATTCAAGAATGTGCATCTATTTCATTTCTTGGTTAGAAATGTTACAAAACGTCATCAATAAATTTTATTATAAACATTTTGAACCAGCTCGAAACAATGTAGGTAATATCGTACTTATCGTATTTATGTCCTTCAACTCAATTTATTTCTGAAACTAATGGGTTTAGCCATATGACATGTTTAATAATTGTTGTTTAGAATCTCTAGAGGGGAAAATTTAATTAAGAAAGTATCATTCCATTAAAAAACAATGAAGTTTTGTGTAGCACAACTTTTTGGGCCACCCTGTATAATTACAAAAGTCCTATTTCAATAGATTTTATTAAGACCTTCAACTTTTATACAGGAAGTTTTTTTATATTGTGCACCATTTTCGAAATAATTGACTGTTCCGGGACTTTTTACACACTGTGTATGTTTCTTCAAGAACATCCATTGCAAAAACTTGACCCTCCGATAGTTTTTCTTCCAGAATATGGATGAATTCGACTGTTGCTGCCATTGACGAAACACATCTTTACTAATGAGGATGATTTCCATTTTGTGTCTGAACTGGTTACTGGTAAGCGGAAACCTGCTTGCACTGTGTTTGTACACTGAGTTCTATAGCTTCATGCAAGTTTTTGCCAGCTTTGTCGGTTGAAACTCTTCTATCCGCTGACCGATCACAAAAAAAAAACACTTGTCCTTTTCGTAAGGTACATTTTGTGACCTAATATACTTAGTAGTAGTACTCTGCGATGACACTACATTTTCTTGAGGTTGAATGCAGTCTGCAGAGGGATCAAACTAAACTTATTACCTACTACGCGCTATTTATAGTCGAAATTGCACTCCGGATCTGTCTAGAAAAACATCGAATCGTATATAATGGAATTCCCAGAAAAGACGCGCTGCCCGACGTGAACAAGTAGTTTTCTCAAACTCCTCGCTGGGCTGTCGATGCATCTTCCTAACAATAATAAAGGAAATATGTACACGGAAATATTGGGGAAGTATCAGTAATTATGGAGAAATGATCTTAAATATTACAGAAAAACCGGAAAAATAAGGGAATTATAAGGCATTAGGGGAATTATGAGGTAATATTGGGAATTGCTGGAAAATACAAGAAATAGAGGCAATATATAAAAATCTCAGGGGAAGTTTACCCCTTGGTATGAAGGTAGCTACCTTATGATTTAAATTTTGGAAAACATATGACGGGTCATAACTTTTTTTCTGTTATAGATAGAAAGCTCAAATTTTCAGCGATTCTTATCCCAGTAGAGAACTACAATCCCTGGAAATTTCAGCTCAGTTGGACTTATAATTCCAGAAATAAAATCGTGTTAAGCAATCTGGGGTGGTTTATCAATTTTTCTGAGTGCCTTTTTTCATAGAATCCGGCTCCAAATCTCAGAATAATTTAGTATATGGAGTCTGTGGGATTCCCAAAGGACCATCAAGACACAACATCTTAACAACCAAAAAAAATTGAAATTTCATCGTTTTAGTAGTACCTACTTTAAACTATGGCGAAGGATACAAGTTTCACCTTCTCCAGGGCCCAATTTGTTTGCTGATCCGGATCTTGGGACAAAGAAATGCCAGTGCACAGGCGATTAAAGTCATGAAACATAAAATTTGGAATTCTCCTTTAGAGAATAAATTCAGAACCAGTAATCAGATTCTAATGGAAACAATCGTTCACTAAAACCAGACCATCAGGCTACTCAACTTTACCTGGATTTTTTTTTTCTTCTTCAAGAAATCAAGACTCGATGATCTTGGTGCCTTTCTTGTTATTAATTGATACCTGAAAAAACTAAAAAAATTGTATCTGAAACGTCGGTGAAAAATAAAATGGTAAAATACTCTACCTATACAAATAGTAAGTTTATTTCCTGTCTAACATAAATGATTTATTTCCAATGAACTTGCTATAATGCACTTCTTCAAGATCGACTTCCCCCGCTCGTCTAAAGCGCCTGCGAAGGTGATATCATCTAAAATTCCGGTCCCAAGCCCGCGTTTCGTCCAAGTTCCACCGATATTCGCTTATTCGCATTTTATCCGTGTTTAGTAAAAGTTTACCCACCCGGATCGGTCCGGCACTCTCGTTTTCAAACTCGTCGCGTTCTCAACTGAAAAAAATATGTCGACTTTGACGCGCACCAACAGTCACAATAGCAAAAAACCGCAGTACAAGGACTATGTGTCTTTTTTGGACAGCTACCGCAATAATAATAAAAAGGATGATCAGCACAGTGTTGTTACTACGGACAGTGGTGTGAGTTTTAGTCTCAACAGTTCTCTAAATAATTCATCTAGTAGTGTTTTTTCTGATGTAAGTGACAATGGAATGAAGAACAAATTGCATCCAAAACCTAAACAAACAGTCAAAACTGAAATGTTTATTGAAATCAAGAATCCTCAAACTTATCCCACGCATGTGTTTGAAGTAAAACAAGAACCCACTATGTCGGTAAGCAGTGCAGCTAAGATATTCGAAAACAAAGATCAAGTAGATGCAAAAAGGCAAACTAAGAAGAATTCTGTTGGAGAAATTTCCAGAAAATTTGAAGCACCCACTGCAAAACCCATAGCCAAACGTGCAGCTAGTATTGGAGAAGTTTCAAAAATCTTCGAAAACAATAACAGACCCAAGAATTTTAATAATGTTCCCAAACCATTCCAGCCACAAACCACAATACTGAAACCAGCAATTTCTCCAAAACCACTAATAACAGCGCCAGTTTTTCCAAGATTCATCCCTGATGCTCCAAAATCTGCAAATTACGCTGACAGCGTCGATTCAGCTTTATCGTCGTTGTCTATTTCACCTTCACCGCCTCAATGCGTGAGTCCACCTCCTGAATTACCGCCACCACCTCCAGAATTACCGCCACCAGCTGTAGAATTACCACCACCACATCCAGAGTTACCGCCACCACATCCAGGTTTTACTGCAACGTTACCGCCACCACCTCCGCCATTACCTCCAAGCAATTTTGCTAAAAAAGTAACCAAACCTCAAGCAAATAATGCTACACTGGATAGAAATGATCCAAGAGTTAAAAAGGCAGTTTATGGTGCCTTAAGGAACATGTATGGAGCTTACCATGATCAGGCTAATGATTATTTGGCTACTTTGCCTAAAAACAGGGTGAAGAAGAATAATGGCTTGGACAGTATAATCAATAGTATTGCGTAAGTACTTTTTTATATTTTAATAATCTGATTGGTGAAAGGTTTTATTTGAAAATAAATTGAAGAAAGTATTGAAGAGATAAGATCCAAATCTTATGACCTTTAATAAATGAAGAATTGTATTTATTAGTATTGTGTTGGACTTTTTAATAAGATCTCTGGGTTTCTTCTGAAATCAAAAATCAGTAAAAGTTTTCATTGTAATAGGTTAAAAGCCTCATTCAAGGTATATATTGCCATGACTCAAATCGATTTGTGTTGTGACCCAAATAAACGCTAAGTATATCGAAAGTGATGCACCTTTAAAGTATACATGGTTTAGTGGGTTAATGTGAAATTCCCTCCAGCTGAAGTGCAACTTCTATATAAATTCTCTCAGGCGTTAAGTATTTGTTGTTTTGTTAAAAGTTCATTATACAAATCAACTAAAACTAAACAAAATATTCTTATCAAAGTTCCTGAGATAAAGGGGCAACATTTAAACACAAAATGTGTACAAAACAAATTATTTATTTATCTCATGTTGTAAACAATTATTATGCCCACATCATTTTACATTAGTCACAAGTGTTTACAAGAAGAACATAGTTCTTGGTAAGGTGATAGTTGAATGGTTGGTACATTTTTTGAGTCATTTGAAAGACAATTCTCACGATTTGTCACTAAGTTATCTTGGACATTTTAAGATATAAATCAAGTAGTTAACGAATTGTGCTTTTTTTCCCCAGTGAGTCTATGATGTCATATTTATCACATAATCAATTTGAATTGTAGAATATAGAGTTAGATAGAAACTTAACCATGTAGACTTATTATTACTAATTATTGCACTTTTTTGTTGTAGATCTCAAGGTGGATTGGATAAGCTAACCGGTAGAGGAAATCCCAAACAAGAAGCAGATTAATTCTATGATTTGTTCCTAAATTTTTATTATTGAGATAGTTTTAGAATTTGTTCTTGACTTACATCTAATTGTGTATATATTTTCTGTGAAAATGTTTATTCCTTTATTAATGATGACTTCAAAAATAATCCTTTTAGATTAGATTATTTATTAGTGTTTGATTGAAATTAATAACTTTTAATCATTATTATCCTTTTCTTTTGCTTTTGTATTATTTTCATATTTAGAAGCTAGTGATAATTATTATAAAATAATCATTCCTAGGTGGTAAGACTGTATATGTTTGTTATAGTATTGTTTTGAATAAATTAGTATGGTATTGTATTTAGTTGTTTTATTGCATTGCTAATAATACTTGCTAAAAATTGCATAAATATCAATGAAGACACTGAAGTTTATTTAAATATTACCTCCTTTAATACGTGATTCATTCAATGATGACAGCTTATTTTTGTATCGCTAATAACAATAACGCTATTAATTAGATGATAATAAAATGCACAATATCGAGTATTAGTCATATTTGTGTTGACTAGATAATGTTTTGGATATTGGATAAATTTAAAAAAAACATGAGTAAGTAAATGACTAATTTTTCGATTCATTGAACAAAGTTGGGACACAATTTCCGATTTGGTGACAAGGTTCTAGATTAAACTATATAGATTACAAGGCATTTCCTGAAGTTAAACGATTGACATTATGTGCCTTTAACTACTTGGCATCCTTTCAAATTTGAGTTTCATTTATTTTCGAAGATTATACAAGGTTGAACTTTTTTATTTCTCGCATAATATTATTGCGTGATTGCGTGATTTTTTCCACCACGAGTGATAATTCGAGTTAAAGACGAGGACAAGAAATAGGAAAATTATGAATTCATTCATTATCACAACGTGATCAGTTATCCATCATTCGAAATTAGGATTTAATTGTTATACCAGGACTTTGATTCATCTTGATTTTTTCTTTCCAAAGTCTCTTCTCTTCATTCTTTTTCGTAAATTCACTGAATATCTAGAGTCACGTGTTGATCAATCTTGTATTTTTTGGGATAGTTGGAAGACTTCTGCGTTGATTGTTGGAAAATTCTGGATATTTCTCATGATGGGCGGTGATTGATGGCTAGTTAGTTCGCCTACATTTTGGTTAGTTGGGTGGGTGATACTTCTTCCTCTGGTTTCCAGTGGCGTAGCTAGGCGTTGGCGACGTCGGCGACTGCCTACGGCCTTGCAAAAAATAGGTGAACGAACCTAAAAATTGGTACTTTTCGATTTTCCAAAATAAACCGTAGAGAACAAAGAAACTTAATCCTATACGAAACTTAACTAAATAACATAAAATTCACTAAACATTATTAATTCTACTGCAAAATAACTTAGAACTCTCAAATCATATGGTTTTTATTTTTTCGATAGATTGTCGGAAGGATTTGCTAGCGAAAAATTGAAAAATATTATTATTTTTGACTAAATATTGTTATTTCGTACGTAGTATTCTGTAGTATTAGCATTCTTCCAAGTTCCAAGGCTTTAGATCAAGTGCCTTAGAATCTTGCATTGGTCTCCAAAGCTATGGTCTTGAGAGTCTTTTTCCTTAAGACATTTTGAAACCTCCAGGATTTTCAGAATCTTCAGTCTACAATGGCCCTAGAATAATTGATCAAGACGCCGACATATTTTGCATCTTCTGATTTTAGCTCAGTGAAATCCTTATTTCAAAATATTTTGAAAAATGAGTCTTCAGAGGCTTCAAAATCCCCAGAGTTTTCAGTCATGAGCCTCAAAATCCCTAAGGTGTTAAAAGTATAAGGATTCTTCCTAGTTTCAAGGCTTTAAATCAAGTGCGTTAGAATCTTGCATTGGTCTCCAAAGCTATGGTCTTTAAAGTCTTCTTATCTCTTAGCTCAGTAAAGTTCTTATTTCAAAATATTTGAAAAAAAAATAGTCTTCAGAGACTTCAAAATTCCAAGAGTCTTCAGTTAAGACTTTTCAAGATCTCTAAGTTTTGCAAAGTAGGTATAAGGATTCTTCCAAGTTCCAAGGTTTTAGATCAAGTGCCTTGGAATCTTGCATTGGTCTCCAAAGTTGTGGTATTTAGAGTCTTTATCCCCGAGACATTTTGAAACCTTCAGGATCTTCAGAATCCATAGTCTGCAATGGCTCTAGAATAATTGACCAAGACGCCAATATCTTTCACATTTTCCGATCTTAGCTCCAAAATACTTAATAAAGGAGTCTTCAGAAACTTCAAATTCACCAGAGTTTTCAGTCATGAGCCTCAAGATTCTGCAAGATTTCTAAGGTGATCGAAGTATAAGGACTTTTCCAAGTTCCAAGGCTTTAGATCAAGTGCCTTAGAATCCGGCATTGGTCTCCAAAGCTAGGGTCTTTAGAGTCTTTATCCCCAAGATATTTCGAAACCTTCAGGATCTTCAGAATCTTTAGTCTGCAATGGCCCTAGAATAATTGATCAAGACGCCGACATCTTTTGTATCTTCTGATTCCAGCCTAGTCTTAGTAAAGTCCTTATTTCAAAATATTTGAAAAAATAAGTCTCCGGAGACTTCAAAATGCCCAGAGTTTTTAGTCATGAGCCTCAAGAATTTTCAAGATCTCTAAGTTGTTCAAAGTATTAGGATTCTTCTAAGTTCCAAGGATTTAGATCAAGTACCTTAGAATCTTGCATTGGTCTTAAGAGTCTTTATCCTCAAGATCTTTCGAAACCTTCAGAATCTTCAATCTGCAATGGCTCTAGAATAATACCGTTGATATCCCCGAAAAAAGGGGCGCGACACTCAAAAAATTCCCGCCTTCGGCGGGCCTGCCGGCCAGCGGCTACCCGTCCCTGTCGTTATATCCAGCTTTTTGTCACAAAAAATATTATGGCCACCCTACATGAAAAGGGCCTCGCAATTTAGATGTCGCCGACGTCCACGTTTGTTTTGGATACGCCACTGCTGGTTTCCTATAATTTGTGGTATTTCATGCTATGAATTCAATTTATGCAGCTTTAAACTAGTCTTCTTGTTATTAGCCGAATTGAAACTTTTACTTACTTACTCCGTAATGCAACAGCCCTGCTGGGTCTCTATAACGAATAGAGATATTTTCTCTATCTCTATTGGCTTCCCCTCTCTATTAATTTCAATAAAAGAGAAGATAGGGTGCCCTCGCGATAGGGATAACGATCCCTATCAGTTACAAAAATAATATTGAAAAGAGTCGGAAACATGTTTCAATCCCGTATTTACCCTGAATACGTCCGACATATCACTCCCAACTTTCACTCTACATCTGGAACCTTCTACATAAACTCTTATTAATCTTATAATCTTATGAGGTATTCCGAATTCTGCTATTGTCTCCCAGATCTCAACTCTCTTCACACTATCATAGGCCTGTTCGAAATTTATAAAGAGTTGGTGTATCTGCCTATTGGATTCCCAGCTTTTGCTAGTAAATATCTTATTATAAACAGTTGGTCAGTTAGATCGGTTTGTCGGAAAGCCGCACTGATAGTCTCCTATTATCTCCTCCGTGAATGGGGTTATTCTTGACAGGATTATATTCAATAGACCTTTGTATACTTTGTTTATGAGCGATATCATATTATTTTATCTCCTTTTTTGTGTAAGGGGATTTGCTTTCTTCCCAGTTTTTTGTAATCTTCTCGTTTTTCCAGATAGCTCTTATGAGTTCGTGTAGTTGGAATGTGGCTGTGTTTCCGGCATGTTGATTATCGTGACAGTGCTAATAAAATCTTGATTATATTGCTGGACTGCTGGACAATAACTTTTTAACATACACAGATTTTTACAATCTAAAACTTCTACTACATCATGGTACGACATTCTTGGAAACTAAACAATTCAACAATTTTACAACTACGAAAAAATAATCATTGGCTGACTCGTTGTTTTCTTATCCCGTCACAAAACAACCCCTTTTCGCAGGTCGTTCTAACAATTTCCTACCTACAGCCGTTTACAGGTTGAAAAACAGGGTCGTCCAGAATGTCCAAGGTGTGATATTACAATCTCCCCCCCCCTGGCCTCGAACTCGCCTCGAGTAGGGGCCAGATGGGTCAACTGGAATCACCTACTTTTTGGTATCAAATGCATGAAAATTCGATATCTGAGACAGCATTTAATGTTGCAAATGGTCATTACGAATTTAACAGAATACCCTTTGGATTGAAGAACGCATCAGCAACATTCCAAAGAGTGATGGATAATGTATTACTAGGATTATAGCATAGAATAAAATATGTCTAGTTCTAGTATACATGGATGCTATCATAATTTTTTCCGCACTTCTCTTCATGAACACGTGAAAAATGGTATCACTGGAATCTCTTCAGAGGTCCCATGTAGGTACAGTCGTTAAATCTGTTACATGATATATCCCTTGGTTCTTGTATGCCCGCAACTTCATAGCTCACTGAAAATACTTTCCTCACTATTTGGTAAGGTCGATCTCTTTTGGGGTTAAATTTCGAGGTTTTCTGCTTAGCAACACTGCTATCCAAATGTGGTCACCTACTTTAAAGGGCTATACAGCTTTTCGATTTTTTTCGGCGTAGTTTTTTTGATAATCCTGCCGTTTTTCGTTGATATCCCAAGTTTCATACCATGTATTCGTCATTTTCATCAAATAAGGGGTTATCTGTGGTACAAAATTCTCATTTCCAACTATGACTCGAATATCATTTTGTTGGTCATCAATAAGGGTCCAGAGTTCCCGTCCAAAATTTAAATAGGATGCAGTATGACCTGTTGCATCACAATTCGCATTATTCGTTGCAAACCGAATTGTTGGTAGTTTTTCTGCCTAAGTGGTGTGATTATCCCCCACTAAAATTGCTAGTCTGGGTTTCAAATCCTAATTTTAGCGTTCAACCATATTCGCTGACGCATGGTACTATGGAATAAATTTTTTCTTGATGTCTAGCACAAAACATACTTGCTGCATGACAGATGTGACGTATTGTATCCCGTTATCACAAATGAAAAACTTCATTAATGAGAAAACAAGCACATTCCTCCGCCGTTTCTTTCTCTATAGCGAAAAGCTGCACCCATTTAGTAGAGCTATCTTCTACTATGAAAATTCATTTCTTGCCACT